AATAATAATAATAATAATAATAATAATAATAATAATAATAATAACAATAATAATAATAATAATAATAATGCTGATGACGCTGATGATATATTTATTATGAAAGTATGCAGTAAGTTTTTTAAAGTCTCATAGCTGCTAATTATATTTTTAAAAAACAATTCTAGGGGCCGGGGATTTAGCTCAGTGGTTCCGCCGCCTGTCTTGCAAGCACAGGGACCCGAGTTCAATCTTCAGTACCAAAAAATAAAAATCCCCCTTTTAAATAAAATAAAAAAACAATTCTCAAATCTAGTAAATTTCTCTAGGTTGCTCTGTCTCCACATAAGAGTATCACTAAATTCTATATTTTAGATTTTTTTTATTTTTTTGAGACAGGGTATTGCTTTGTAGGTTGGCCTTGAACTCACCATGTAGATCCAGGCTGGCCTCAAACTCAGTGGTCCTCCTGCCTCAGCCTCCCCAGTGCTGAGATTACAGGTATATACCACCATGTCCAGTTAGAAATTTTTAAAATAGTGCTAAATAGCTAGAAAGAAAAAAGTAATCAGTATTTACTGAGTGCTTTTGAAATGATTTGGGCATTAAAGTACACTTCACATATTTTTTTTCTTTAAATGAATCTGATTAATGAACTCCATTTTACAAAGGACAATTAAGTCCTTAAGTGACTAGTAAAAGCTGAGCTCACAATGAAATCCAGCTCACAATGAAACCCAAAATCTATGTTCTTTCCATCTTAACACATTAAAGATAAGATGTTATAAAAATAGCAGTTAGGTCACATATGTTGCAGATATTCTTGGACACCTCCCACAAATCCTAACATATACAAAGCACAATGCATATAAAACACAGATTACAGCTAGAATTTAGAGCAAAAAGAATCAAGGAAGCTGTCCTAGATGATCTCTTGGTTGCTTCTGAAGAGTTTTTTCCTCCAATAAATGTTTATTTAGGGTAATTAAAAAACAGCTCTAGCCGGGCATGGTGGTACATGCCTATAATCCCAGCACTTGGGAGGCTGAGGGAGGAGGATCACTGTGAGTTCGAGACCAGCCTGGGCTACATAGTGAGTTCCAGGTCAGTTTCAACTACATAGTGAGACCCTGTCTCAAAAAACCAAACAAACAGACAACCACTCTAGCAAAATATAATCCTCTTTATATGGTGGGGGGCCATATTTTTTACTAACATTGTACAGAAATGAATCTCAGGAATTATTTTTAAGTGACAAAAATATCTCTCTGCATCACCACTAACTCTTGATATCGCAGCCAAATTGTAACTTGAAAAGCTAAAACTTACTCAACCAATTCAACATCAACTGAGAATGGCCTTTATTTTCCTGCAGGGTGATATTTTCACCCTCATGTTTATTTTCTCCCTCTTTATTATTTAGCTCCATAGCTAGGAGATACACTAATGTGAAAGGAAACAAAAACAAAGTCATACTGTAGTGCATTGCTTTGCAGCTGTAAAACAGCTGTCACTTTCCACAACAGAGGCTGCTGCCTTTTGGGAAAGCTCAAATGATTCCTGTGTGTAGCAAGGAAATCAGCTTGGGGAGCACTTTAAACAAAAAGGTACTATAAAATCTCAGCTGTTATTGATGGGGAGCCCCAGAGGTGGAGAAGTCACTGTGTTACAGATTCCCAATCTGTGAGTATCCCTGAGGGAGCAATCTGGCAACACCATGAAAGCGGCTCAGCTTGCTGTGATTGCTTTGAACCCCCAATTTAATTTCAATCACCCAGGCAAGAGACAGACAGTCCTTCAGAATAAGACTATTACATATCTTACTGCAGGGTACCCTGGGAAAAGTCTCTCTACTCTTCTTCCTCCCCCTGAAAATAACATTAGTAAGAGACCCCCTATATCAGTTTTTTAGATGCATCAAGAGTATTAAATATTGTAAGACAAAGCAATGAAAGATTGCTTGAGTTTTTCAGCAGGGTACTTTAATGAAAAACATACCATAAACACTGCTGATCTGGAGATTCCCAAGAAATCAACAATATAGGTTTCCTGCTGCCAAGGAGAACCATTCCCAAAGAGCTGTGGTGAACCTGTGGTGTTGGCATGTCACAGTGGGCTATTTGTATCACTGAGAGCTCTGAAGGGATCGCTATCACTGCTATATAGGACCTCAATACTAAGAGTCTTTCATATAAAAGCATTTCAGGACAATTCTTTTCCCCAAATGTCTGGCTTCTGCTACAACATATCAAAAGCTTCCATATAACTGGCAAGCAGAAGGAATCTTGAGACCAAATGTTCTTATAAGCAAATCAACTGCACAGCGTAAATAGAAAGTCCTTTATCCAAAATGAATGAAGATGAAAATAACTAAAGGGAAGAACTGAATTAGAATTTTTCATTTATTACCCATTTCCCCCCTATAAATTCTTCCCATTCTAAAATCTTCCATTCTTGAAGGTCTAGAATCCAATTCACTTAAGTTTTACCTAACCATTTCAGCCCAAGATAATCTTTATCATCTACAAAACTCATTTGGTAGATATAAAAATTCTGTCTCACAGTGTTATTTCTATGTTTATAAGATTATTTTTTAAACAGTGAAACAAAAACCTCATCACCTTAAACAACTATAATTATCTCCATATCTAACTGTTGCCCATTATACACTCATATCATAGAGTTCAAATCAGATTATACACAACTTTGTGTTTTGCTTTTTTTATTACTTTTTGGTACCAGGGATCGAACTCTGGCCCTTGGCTTGGGAGAGACAGGCCGCGGAACCACTGAGCCAAATCCCCCGCCCTGTGCTTTGCTTTGCTTTTTACTATCAGGTTTCCATGAAGTTGAAAAGAGTTGATGAAAAACTATTTGTTTAGCCCTTCTCTTCTTTGGATATTTAGATAATTTCTAGTTTTTTAATCATCTCTCCTGGAATTTCTAGTCACTTCCTTGCCTCTTTCAAATCTTTACTCACCAACACTTCCCGGCTTTATTTTGCTTTAAAGCACTTACCTCCATGTAACATACTTAATCTATTTATTTCTTTCATTTATTATGTCTTTTTTTTTTTTGGTTTTTTGAGACAGGGTCTCACTATGTAGTTGAGACTGACCTGGAACGCACTCATTTATTATCTGTCTTTTCAACAATTTAAATTCCAAAAAGGCAACAATTTTTGTCTGTTTTGCTCATTGTTGAGTCCCCAGTGCCTACAACAGTGCCTGACACTTGGTATGTGACAAGTATTCAATGAATGAACAAACACCCCTACGGACATTATTTTTCTCCAGATTACCTTGTTCCTTACAACAGATTCCTAATTATTACCAAAGTGTAAAAACTTACACAGTTCTTGGTAAATATTGCCAAAATATTTCCTTAAAAGGCTCTACCAATGCACAGTATTTCCAACTGTGTACAGGCCTAACAGATTCACCGCAGTTGTCTTTGTAAACTGTCAAATAAACTACACATTCCTTTAAGGTCAAATAAGATTGTCTTTTACTTACACTTTGTATTTAAGAAAACCTGTTGAATGATTAAACTAAAGAAAAGGCACCTTCTTTAAGTATCTGCAAAAACTTAAAAAAGCTTATTTACCATACATATTAAAAAGATAATGTCGTGCTCGCTTCAGCAGCACATATACTCAAAAGATAATGTCGCCAGGAATTTAGCTCAGTAGCACCGAGCCTGCCTCACAACCTGAGTTCGATCCCCGGTACCAAAAAAAAGTCATTGTTAAGGCTTATCTTTCCATCCATCCTACTTGACACAGCCCCCGCAGACGTTTGAAAATCTACTTGTCTACTTAATCTACTACTACTAAGAGAAGTGTTCGTGAAAGTGTTAAAAATAAGGCCTCAGTGACTGAGGCCAAGTAGGACGAGAAGGGCAAGATGTCATTGGAGTCCAGTATCTAGTCTCCCTAGGGGGACACAGCTGGAAGGAGCGAGAGGCTCCACTCCAGGCCGGCTGGGCCTCTCACGGAAACACCCCAAAAACACCCCGTTCCTCCAAAATCGGGGGCGGGGGCACCCCACCCACTCTCACACTCCGTATTGAAAATTGGGGGTGGGGGCTAAGCGGCTCTTGCTCAGTCCAAGCCACTCGTCAAGAAGACGTCCCCCACTTCCCACAAAAACCGACGCTGAGAAAAAGACCCCGCCCCAAGGAAGTCCGCGGAGGGGTTGCCGCAGCCGGCCTTCACCCCAAACCCCGCAGTGCCCGAGACTTACCGCGTCGGAGCCACCCTTTCCTGCCACAATCCAGCACCAGATGCCCCTCGTCTCAGAGCCCCCAGCGTTCACTTCGCGGGGTCGGACGGGGCCCACCTGGGCTAACTTCCACTTCCCTCTGCGCCTCGCCCAACGACAGAGAGGAACCGCGCCGCCAGCTCCGGTTTGAAATCCCGCTCCAACCAATCACAGAGAAACATTCCTCTCACGTGGCTCTACGCTAAAACGCACGCGCCAGGACAATTGGGCGGAGAGGGAATGGAATTGAGCATGCGCGTTCCGTTAAAGCGGCGCTGAAGACAGCCATTTTTACTAAGGTCAACAGGTCTTCCGTTGCCCTTTCCTGAAGTCTTTTTGGATGCCATGTTGACAAAGGGCAGTGCTGCTGCTTCTTGAGTACAGTACAAGTGATTATTGCTCTCATCTCCCCCAAGCAGGGTAATAGCGCTCTTCGAAATTATTAACTGAAGTGTCAAGTCTCGCTGTACAACAGGAAGACTTCCAGAAGGATATAAAGCAAGAGTCATTTTCAACCATATGTACTGAGCTATAGTATTCCTTTTTTCATTGACACATTTAGTCTTTCAGTTGACACATTGTGTGCCAACTTAGTAGCAAGAATTCTGCCGGGAAACAGAAAAATAAAGATGATGTGATCTCTGCTTTCCAATCGTTACAAATAAAAGGAGCAGTTTAAGGAAACAAAAGTATAAAATGAAAGCATTATAATTCAATTTAATAAACGTTATTTAGAACCTGGCATTATGATAGCAAGGAGCTTTCACACTTTGTAAAAATCTGGACCCCAGGGAGGAATATATTTTACAAACATGTATCAGAGGACTCTGATCATCCTTGCTACATGTAATGTACCCTAAATATTTTTCTATTTTCCCCTTGTTGGCATCCTACCTCAATGAATTTACTACCAATAATGAGTGACTAGTACCAATAAACATTAAAAACAAAATTTTTAAAAAAATAATGAGTGACTACCTGCACTTTGGAAAAAAAATACTATACTAGCTAGAGCATACAAGAAGCAGTATATGATCTTAATAAAAAGATTGCAGATTAGGGATATGTTGGTCAAAGGCTATAAAATTTCAGTTATTGCAGTTAAATTCAGTATATTATAACATAGGGATCATAGTTACTAATGATGTGTACCCATATTTGAAATCTGCTAAGAAAGTAGACCTTAAGTGTGCTCACCACAAAAAAAGGCAAGGGATATGTTAACTAGTTTGATTCAGTCATCCTATAATGCACACATATAGCAAGATATATATACCATAAATATGTACATTTTGTGGTTGATTTTTTTTAAAATCACAAACTTTTTAATCAGAAAACACAACTCTGTTTTTGTTTTTGTTTTGGGTACTGGGAATTGATCTCAGGACCTTTCACTTGCCAGGCAGGCAGGGCACCACTGAACTAAATAGCCAGCCTGCATAAGTAAACTTGACTGTTTTAGCATTGCTGGAGCACTGTTGTGTGGCAAGCATACCACTTAACCCACTACATTATTGTGTGTGTGTGTGTGTGCGTGCGCACACACTAGGGATGGAACCCAGGACCTCCCATACATTTTACCACATACCTACACCCCTGCCCCTACTTTATCACTTTTAAGTCTTATGTGCTTCACTTCTTCAAATATAAACTAGAAATAATAATACCATCCATACCTCACAGGTTTCTCCTCAGGTCCACCAAGGTAGTGTTGGTATGGTATCAAAGTTTATCCTTTGTAAACTATAATGCAGGATTCTTAGGAAAGGAATAAAGAAAGAAAATATTGATTGTAAATATATTGTTCCATTTAAACCTCCCAACAACTTTTCAGGGTCAGGAGCATTTGTTGATTGCAGTAGCGTATGCTCCTTAGACACGCATAATACAATGAGATACATGCTGCACTAGAACAGAGATCGGTGTGAAGTGCCTTAGGAGTATAGACAAAGAAGCAATTAATCCTATCTGGGGAATGGGAGCGTTAGAAAAGCCTAGAGACTGATATCTGAGCTGGAACTTGAATCGTGAATAGAAATTTACTGGAGAGAAGGGAGTGGCAAATTCCTGGCAATGGAAAGATCATGTGACCACTACGGAATGAAGCAAGTGTATATTTAGTAAATACCCAAGCACACAGTTTATGGAGGTTTAGGACTATGAAGGAATATCTACTTCAATTTCAGGTGATCTTGGGGGTTCATGAATATGATGCCTCTCAGGCAGCACTGGCCTGAGAAGTAGGAAACTCTGGCAAAATGAACTGGAAGCAGCCCAGGAAGAGATTGGACTTCATCCTGTAATACTCAATGACAAGACAGAAAGATTTAGACTGACTTGACTGATTTAAGACATACCCTAAAGTAGGGCTGGGAATTTATCAAACTGGGAAGGTGGTTTGCCTAGCATGAATACCCTGGGTTCAATCCCCAGCACAGGAAGGAAGGGAGGGAGGGAATGATTCTATAGAGGATGATCTGGAGAGGAAAATGGGGGGCGGTCTAGTGGAAGACAGACTCTTGATTTAGGTCAGTGGCAGTGGGGGTGAAGAGGGGACAGGTGGGAAAGATAGCCATGAATAGAATGAACTGTACTTACTAAAATGATTGGATGGGTCAGGGATTTAGCTCAGTGGTGCCACTACCTGCCTCTAAAGTGAAAGGTCCGGAGTTTGATCCCCGGAACCAATAAAATAAAATAAAATAAAATGACTGGATGTAGGGTGTGAGACAGAAGGGTGTGTAGAATACCTCAGTTTTCTCTCCCTCCCTCACATCCCATCCTTTCCTTACCTAATAGCCATTAAGGACTTCAACTTTTTCCTTAATAAAGCCCAGAATCTTTAAAGAGGCTCTCCCAAGGGGCTCTGGCTGCACTTTCTGACCTTCAAGTGTTTACAATTCCTCAAGTGCACCAACTGCTGTTCTCACTCAGAGCTCCAATTGCTGGTCAAACTGCCCCCAAACACTTCATCACCAAATCCTACGTAGCCTTCTGTACAACTTAGATCTTTACTGCTTTCCTCAGGAAGGAGCACCCCATCCTCCCCCTTTCATACATGTCACCTCATCTGGGTTTTTTCTTTCTAGTTCTAGTCACTGTGTTGTTTGTCTGTGTTGTGGTACTGGGGTTTGAGCTAGTGCAGTAACTTACCACTGAGTTACATCTCAGCCCTCAAAAAAAAATTTTATTTTCTTTAAAGACAGTCTCACTAAGTTGCCTAAGCTGGTCTCAAACTTGCAATCCTCCTGCCTTAACCTGCCCAGCAGCAAGATGGGATGGTAGGGGTGTGCAACCACACTAGCCTCTAGTTACTGTTCCATGGCTGTACCTTAACTCACTCCTCTTCTCTGTAAATGAATATCTATTTCACAGAGTTGTTGAGAGGAATAAATGAAAAGCCCTTGTAAAATAATTAGCATTATTCTTGACACACAGTAATCAGTCGACAATTATTCCACATTTCTCCCACTAGACTATAAACTTCCACAGAAGGAGAGTTGGTCCTCTTTTCATTACTGCCATATTTGCAGATCCAATAAATAGTCCAAGTGTAGGTGGACTGGTAGCAGTATTCCACCCTACTACCCAATCCGAGGTCCCAAATGATCAGCCTTCCTACCTCTCCCTCCACCAAAGCACACCCACCCCGCATTTCACTCTTAGTCCTTCCTGCCCAGTGAGAAGAAAGCAGAGAGAGAGAGAGAGAGAGAGAGAGAGAGAGAGAGAGAGAGTGTGTGTGTGTGTGTGTGTGTGTGTGTGTGTGTGTGTGTGTGTGTGTGTCGGGGGTGGTTAACTGCTTTTCTTCCCAAATTACAGTAGTCTGGGGAGGGAGACACTCAGAGGCTCCACCAATAACGGGAAAAGCAAACAATCTGGTGCCAGAAAGTTTTGAGTTCGATTCCCGGCTGTCACTTACTAGAGGCGCGCTCCTTTGGCCTGGTTATTTAATTTCCCGCTTCTGGAGAGACCCCCCCCGTGGGTGGGGGTTGGAGAGAGGGCGTTGCGCAGTGCCAGGGAGGAGACTGCGTTGTTACCAGACGCCGCGCCACTCTGCCGCAGCCACTCCAGCCCCGCTGCCGGTGGGCTTCGTGCTGAAGCGGGGGACGCCGCCTGCCAGATGTCGCGACAGAGAAACGGTCACCGTGGGTCCCTAGGCAGTGGGGAGGGAAGCCCTGGGGGCCCCCGGGGAGACTCAGTCCTTGGTCGCCGCGGGCCACTGCCCGGGATTTGTGTCCCCACCCCGCTTCCCTGGCTGGGCTCCTGCCTTTGTTCCTTTTCGTGTATGTCTGGAGGTCTCACTCCTGCCTCCTTTCTTCGATTACTCTTCCCTCTGTCAGGTAAACCAAGCGGATTTCGAGCATTTCTGCCTCCAGGCGGTGCGCTAACCCCCAGGGCCAAGGCCGCTACACAGACGGCAGAACCAGGACAAGCTGCGCTCTGGGTTGGGAAGAGCCCAGCACCGCTGGAGATCCGGAGAGCACTGGAAAGGAGAGGGCTTTGGAAGGAAACTCCAGCCCTGCGGCCCGGGAAGGAATTGGGAAGTGAAGCAGACAGCGGTGTAAATAGAGTGGGGAAGCCAATCCAGTGCGGCTGGGGTGAAGCACCCTTGTCTGCAGTTTAGGAAGTAAACTGGAAGCATTTCTGAGAGGGCAGTGTGGGAGACCTTAATCCCAGGCCAAAAATAAATTAACTGCGTTTCCTGAGGCACTAGTGAGCCCTAAATTCTCTTAAGAGAACACTAAGCATAGAGGTTAAATCCGTGGGCTCTAAAGTTACAGTGGCCCTAGTTCAAGGTCTGTTTCCATCACTCAGGACCAGATGCCTTCATTTTCCCATTACATAACAATGATAGCACTAGGAAATAATAAGGACTATTAGGAGGATTAGATAAAAGTGCTTGCAAAAGTCTTAGCATAGTGCCTAACACACTGTAAGTGTCCCAGAAGTCTTATTTTGTATTTCCCTGTCTTCCTTTGTCTTAGAGACAGCAATGTAGAGTTTCTCAAATGACACCTCAGCTATCAACAAACAAGAAGGAACTGAGAGAAGACCCTGGTGCCATTTCACACACCTGTAATCCCAGGTATTTGGGAGGCTGAGACAGGAAGATCCAAGATTCAAGGCAAGCCTGAGCAAATTAGTGAGGCATTGTCTCAAAATCTTAAAATAAAAATGGCTGGTCCAGGTTCAAGCT